TCGACTCTCCACTGCTGACGCCGCGGGGAGGCTCAGGAAGCGATGCGACGAGCGAAAAGGGGTATGATTCTGGGAATGTGACAGGTGTTGAAGCTTTAATCGTTGACGAGGTCTTAGTCCTTTCAATAGCTTTCTTCGACGCCGGGCTCTGGATTTCGCGATAGGAATCAAGCAGCCTGTCCAGAAAGGTCAGGTGGAGAATAAGACAGAGACAATAAAATTACCTCGGAAGTAGGGACAGCAAACATTCCACGTTGTCTTGCTCCTGCCGGTACGCTTTGCGATCCGCAACTATGGTTGGGTTGGTAAGATTTTGCTGCAGCTTATCGAGCATGACAGCAATGATGGTAACGCAAAGACGAATGCTTTCCAACCAGTTAACACGGGCTGCATCTCGAGCAGCTTCCGTGTCGTTGGAGCTCGTATGTGCATACTCATCGTATCGACCAAAGTGTGCTTTAATCCAAATGACCACTGCTTCGACGAGTAGAGGACGAGATTCAGGATTGTCAAATAGGAATCCTTTGACAATCTGAAGATACATGATCAACTTCCACATCACGATCTTCCCCTTGCCTACGGTTACCGCGTTGGCAAAGGTTGTGGCAATCGATACAAGCTCGACCGTCGAGTACATTTTCGCCAGTTCAGGCAGAATGGAAGTAAAATGTTGGAGGGCGATGGTCTGAGTTCCGATGATAGACGCGGGGGTGGAGGTCGACATCATTTGCGTGAAGTTTGAGAGGTGGGATCGTAATTCGCGTTTAAAGGTTGTCTCTAGATAGTCAACCGTGGCACCCCCACCCATCCCGATCTCCTTCGCTTTTTGCAACTCCCTTGATCTTGCGATAAACTTGAAGATGTAATGCCAGACCTTGAGTGCAGCACGGAGTGGCGACGCAGTGTCAGGGGCCGTTGGATTAGCCACAAGCTTGTTCATTGAGTGAATGATGTGAGATGACGCAGCAGCGTAGTTGAAGTGCTCCTCGATGTAGACATCCAGGACGGGCTGGAAATTGCTGAACCGACGGTCTTGGACGATGCCTAGGACAGTGACAAGAGCGTTAAAGACGAGGTAATCGAGTTCGCCGGACTGATTATTCTGGGAGACGAGGATCCCGAACAATGAATCAAAAATGTCCCGCAGGAATTTGACTATCTCTCCTTCACCAACGAAGGTGAACTTTGTAAGAAGTGCAGACAGTAAATCCTTATCTTGACCAAGCGTCTCCCATCGCAGTAACCTGAGTAGCACAGGATTTTGTGTGTGCTTCGTGGAACAAAGCGAGGAGCGAATAGTTAAAGTGTCCTTGAGGGGTGGCGCATATCGGAGCATGTCAAGTGGGATCGAAAGCTGGTCGAGCTTCTGCCCAACTGCCCAACGAGATGGAGCTGTCAGGTACAAGTTGGGAGCCACGAGTGACAATTTGTCTGCACGATACATGACCAATGTGTGGCTTCCATCTTCGACGAATGCAGTATTATCAAGGAATAAGGGTTGAAAGGCGAAGGCGAATGGGCGATCACTTGCATCCCCGGACGACTTCGAGCTACCCCGAGTAGCACGATTTCTAAAGGTAAAGAAGAGGTGCCACTGAGGCACTTCACCGAGCGGAAGTTGGACTTTGATAAGTTCTCCGAAAGTTGGCTCGTTACACCGCATGAAGACCATGGAGTGGAATTGGGTCATGAGAGGCTCCCCGGCCCCTTGTGAAAGGCAATTTTCGACAACATTGCCTTCCACATCTCTGACTTCGACTGTAATTTGGACATTAACAGCAGGTGGACCCATTTGACCTCGAGCGAAGTTGGCAACGCTCAAGCGGCCAGACCCACTATGCACTGGCGTAAAGTCACCGCACCACAGCTTAATGTAAAGCTCATTGCGAGCATCTCCGGGGAACACGACGTCTGGAAAACCCAGCCTGAATGTCTGAGGAGTGTCTTGCAGAAGGGACGTGTTCTCGCGTATGACAGTTTTCGCGTTTCCTCGAAAGATCTTCACTGACACTGCTAAAGCTTCGGCCCTAGCCAGATCCTGTCAGCATACTTGCATCAATTAATAAAGTGGGCCCTACCTTGGAGATTTCTCGAACTCTTTCGCGTTGTTGCTAATGATATTTTGGTGGATCATAGAAAATGACGCCTCGTTCGTCGCAACAAAGATAGGCATGGTATACTCCTTGAGAGGAGACACATCTGTTTGATCACCCACCATCTTGCATAACTGAGTGAGCTCTAGGACGGCACAACCAAACGGTCGACGGAACTGTGTTCCGTCGCTGGTTCCATTGGCACGACTGGGACTGGTTGACGATGTACCGTTGACAGTGTCGTTCCATTGCAACGAAGGGTTCGTGGGAGACACGACCTCAGTCCAGTTGGAAGCTTCAGAGCCTCTTCTGTTTCCGTCTGTTGGCACCCCAGAGCTGATGTGGTTCCCAAGTTTTAAGGCCCCATTCCGGACGATTCGGCAAACCAAGTAAAGAGGGTCCTGAACATCAGAAGTGGCGAGGTCAACAAACAGGGTCCGTATACGGGTTGCTGGATCGCGGGAGAGCACCCCGTTATGGTTGAGAATAGCACAGAATTCTTCTGTGACGAATTGAGTGCCTTGCTTCTTGTATAACGAGAAGAAGAGTTCTGCTGTCTCTCCGGGACTGCACGGCGATGCGACAAATGCGCGAAGATCGAGGAAAATGTGATAGAACTTGGCAGTGGTGTATCTCGCCTCTTCGGAGAGACCAGAGCGGGAGCGAGACTTGTGATGAGGTGGAAAGTCAGGGAAGGCCGAGTGAGCAGGGGTGGGAAGGGGAGCGGAGGGGATGTAGTCTGTGCTTGGGCCCAAAGTATATGGTCTTGAATCGTCATACGAAGTGTTCAGATAGGCCAGAGATACTTGTGTGGCATACATGCGAACTGCGGAGACCCAGCTGCGAGGGTCGATTTCTCCCTCCACATCAACGGTGACGAGGCCACCCCACGTAGGATGTCGAACAATAACATCCAAGCCCTGCACCAGATTCCCACTAACCAGTCTTGTAACACATTCGCGGCGCATGTTAACTGTCTCCTCTGCACTCAAGGTCTGGGCCAGAAGCTGCCTTCGACCGAGATGAAGCGCTTCGATATGTTCGCGAACGATCATGAATAGTGAGTAATCTCGTCGGGCGAGGTATTGGAACATAAGGGTATGCCATTCGCGAAGGGCTGACGCGATTTCGTCAATGATGGGTTGTTGGGCACCTGAGGCGGTATCATCGCCAGACTTAAGTGACGGTCGAGGCGGTAGAGGCTTCACGTGAGATTCTGCAGGTGAGGATGACCGCAGGCTCGTCGGATACACGGGCAAAGCTGCTCGGGATGAGTTGGCTTGATCTGGAGGAGGGCCGAGTTTGAAGGACTTTCGGGCTAAGTACGGATCCGCCTCTTCTTCTTCTTCACGGACAGGGTCCATCCCAGAGGCAGTCTTTTCCTTGTTCCAATGCCCCAAAGCATCCCCTGGGCTACTCCGACCATAGCCAATGCTATGGATGCTTCCAATACTTCCGTTCCCCAAGGAACGAGCTAAGTCGGGTAGCCTACCCTCAGCATCTGACAGCTCATCGCGAACAAATATATGGGACGCTGGGAAAATTCCAATGAAAACTTGTTGAGTTTCTTCGGCTTTTGCGGAAGGACGGGGTAGTGCAGTCGAAGATGAGGGATCGGAGAGCGACCAGGTGACGGGAGGGCGCCGTGTGGTGCAAACGACGTATCTAGTAATTTAAAACTTCAGCTTGAGTAGTTCAGACAGTGCGATAAGTTGTCGTACCCTCGATACCAAATGTTTTCAACGGGTTCCCTATTGGACGGAGTATACCTTTCGAACGCATAAACCTCGTCGCCTACCTCAAGGGTAACGACATCCCGCATGACAGGGTGCTCATCGGTGGAGGCTTCTGTGACTGTTGATAGACGGTTGCGACTAGATGCTCGTGTGTCGCGGCGTGAAGGGGAGAGAGGGTGGACTGCGTATCCATAGACGATTAGCGGCAGAGGCTCCCACATATGCAGGACGGGGAGATAGGAAGTTGAATTTGGAAAAGTGAGCGGACCAGAAGAGAGAGGGCAGGGGAGCTGCGACGGTGGCCGAGGATGCGGTGGGTGGGTGCCGGATGAGGAATGGAATGGAGGAAGGGGAGCGCTCGGGCGAGCTGAGAGGGGATCAGGCAGAACAGGATTTGGCACACCTGCCTTGTTGGGAATCTCCCATCAACGCTACCAACCAAACCGCCACCACTAATGGCCTCTCTCTCAGACCAGATCGACGCCTTCACGCGAAATACACGCGCAGTCAACTCCACCGCATCCCAGATAGCCCACAGCGCCTCCCATCCAGATGTCGCCCCAGGCCTTTTCACCCGCGCCGTCCTCGACGCCTCTCTCGGCGACTTGATTAGGGATATTGACACCTCCGAACTGGGCCTCTTCACCCTCGTAGCAGCCCCTGCCCGCAAGAACTACGACAAGGATTCACGCTCCGCACAGGATCCAGAGATCAAGCGCACCGAGTTCACTGGTGCCACCCCCTTGAAGAGGCATCAGTCGCGTCGAGAGGACAAGGAGATCGAACCGGAAGTCTATGTATATGCTGCTCTGAAATATATCGATCAATAGTGCGTCTGCTCTCATCACATCATGCGCGTCGTTATTAAATGAACAGTGATCCAATACGCCCCATGCCTCGCGCGTATGATCAGATTGTAACGATTCTCGAAAGAGTGAAGTCTGTTCGCGAACAAATCGCGTCTCTCGACAATACCCTCAAGCAGGTCACGTCCTCTTCTCCCCATATTCTTCCAACATCTCATGTCTTGAATAGACGGTTGTTGTAGATGAAGGATCATCAGTGAAAACACGCGTGGAACAGGAGGAGCGTCGAATTCAGGACCTCCAAGCTCGCACTGCTGAGCTCTCGAAGAAGGTACTTGTGTTTTTATGCGGCGTTACGCCCCGATTTCTAACTTCCTTCAGAAAAGCAGCACAGTCCGCACCGAGAAACTCAAGGCAACTCGTCCCAAGGTCAAACAACAGCCAACTACCAAGCAGCCAACACCTGCTGCTTCACCCGCCTCCTCTCATGGAGAGAATATATGGACCACTCCCGGAGAGCCTTCTCGTGTTTTGTGCTTCACAGATAACCTTCTTGATGAAGAGGTTAATCTCGGAGACGTCAGCACGACCTCTTTCGGAAGCCCACTTGCCAATCTCAAGCCAACTCGGCTTTTCGCCGATCCTGCCTTTTTATCAGACGACAAGACCATCGCACAATCCACAAATCTCGATGATGATTCCGGTCCCTATGATGCTTCTGAAGTAGAGGAGAAGGAGGAAAAAGTCGAAGGGGTGAAGTCCTCAGCCCACAGTCTAGAAGCAGTTGCTGGGGAATCATCCATACTCACTCCCAGAAATATCCCGTTGAAGGATGTTCAAAATGCTGAACCATCACTCAAGAGTGCGGGTACCCCAGCTGCACGCCCGCGCAAGTTGAAAGTAAATGTTGAGATGGAAAGGATCATTGTAAGGCCTTGAATCTCCCGCTGAGAACCTTCTGGGTCTAATCGATTGCTCCAGTCGAAGATATGGTCAACCATCAGCGATGTAATTGCGCCGCCGAAAGAATCGATGTCCGTTAGTGAAACTATGTATGTTCAAAGATTTTTACTTTCCATGACAGATCCATCATTTTTTGACATATCATGGTTTCCAGAAACCATTTCCAACAACTTGCAGCGCAATCTCCGCAACCAGAATCTCCAGTCGCTTCCAGCACATCCTCCCTTGTTGGTGATCCAGCTGGTCCTCCAACATTTCAGCAGGTCATGACAGCACAGCTTTTGACAATGCTATTGTCCGCACCCAGTCATTCAATGTCTCTCAGCCAAGTGAAAGAGAACCTGGCGGCAAGAGCGAAGAGCACGGGTGCCGGTGTGACTGCATCAAGCACAACCAGAGTCATATATGGCTGTGTTGGAAAACGCCTTGTCAAGATTGATCGCGGAGGGCGCGAACAAATTGTCAAGTTCGACATTTAACTTTTCTGGTCGCATGTTAAGAGCTCGTATTATCAGTACCGTAATGTGTAGAGGGTATATATGAAGCAAGGTCCCGCAGGAGCGACACATTAGTTTCTATCCCCGAGATATCCCAATACAAATATTCAGCCAACCGTCTGCACCAGATAGACAAGCACTTAACCACGCAAGTTCCGCTTCTGGCGGCGAAATGACGCCTTGAATCAGCGCGTAGGCGAGCTCTGGAACAGCAGGGGCTTGCGGGTTGGGGTTCAGACGAGAAGGAGGAGGCGGTGGCGGGCGTGGGGGAAATAGAAGGGGTAGGTGGTTTGAGACGAAGTGTGCAAGAGTATGTGGCGTTCCTGCTTAACATTAGCAGGAGGGAAAGAAATGGTAACGGGTGTACTAACCGTCTTCTATCAGCGGCGGGGCAACTTCTTGTAGTATTGGTCCGTCAGGCAGATACATTCTAACAGGGATACTTCTCATGCTATATGCGCTGTCGCGATCTGGAGGAGGGTTTGGATCTGTAGATATCGGACGCGATATCGAAGATGTCGGTGCAGGTGAAGTGGAACGTGGAGTAGTTCCGACGACAGGCGTCAACTTGGAGGCCACGCGCCAGAAATCGTCAAAACTATCTATAAAATCAGTAAGACCTCCTGGTTACACGGTTGGTGCAGAACGAGACTGCTCACGTTCTTTGATACCTTCCCATAAGCCATCTTGATCGGCTTTCCGAAGGCCAGTCATTCTACGGGTGTTGCCCCACCGGATGAAATCTGCTTCTTTCAGTTGGTTCATGAAAGCTTGCTTGCAAGATTCTATGCTTGGAGATATGAACAATTTATCATTAGGTGGGGCTGCGAGATGCAGGATCAAGCGCATAGGGGTGGCCAATGAAGCGGAGGGAACCAGCGGAGAACGGAGGGATGTGCTAGTCGTGTGGTTGTCGTAGATCAAACCAATTGGCCAGTGCCTAGAGAATTAAGTTCAAATTTTGCCAACATATCGAGCAGATATGCGGCTGAAACATACCACTTGAGCAGTGTTCCCTCTTCACTCTCAAACCACCACTCCTCGTCCTTCAAAGTCTTGGCGGCTACTTCATCGAATACGACATCCATGAGGAATCTCCTTATTTCTATAACTAGCAAAGGGAGGTAGCTGACACGAGGTGCTTGGATGAAGTAACATTCGAGCCCACGATCCGAGTTTGCAGGGAGCTCCTTTGGATCGACACGGATTTCAAGTGGGACTGTGCCTTCCCATGTCAGACGGCGAAAGAGTGTGATGTTGTAATCAGCACCCTTTTCCATGCGGTTGAGTGTAGGCTGGGAGGAGTGGTGGCGAGCAGCATAGGTCGACATCGCGACTGCCGACAGAGCTGAGGCAGACCCGACAGTGTTGGTATTGCGTGACAGACGGTCACGAGTCAGGTGATCGCGGCAGATATCAACATGTTTGGTCACCTGCCAGGTGCCTCGAGTCGCGTCGCCGTTTGGTCACACAGTACAGTCCACCTCCGTATTTCTCTGCCTCTCCTACTCTACCTCTCCCAGAGTGCCACCATCCCTATGAGCATTTAAAGCTCTTTCAGAAATCTGTGGTCCTCCAGTTTCTTGGTTCTATATCTATGGCCTCATTCCTACTACACCGCCGTCCGTTGACGAACAGGACTTTGCAGAACCCCTCTCGTCCCCCGCCAAGCAAGCCAGCTCGTATAGCATCTGGTTCGAAACGACCTCGATCACCAGACCATGGGGAGTCCCCAGCTCCTCCCAGCGTGAAACGCGTGCGCGCCACCCCACCCCCCCAACCTCCGGCCAACCGTGATGCACAACGAGAGAAACGCCACACCGAGCGAGAGCAGAAGGAGGCGGAGTTCAGGCACAAATATCGAACTGCTTTCCCAACCTTCGCATTTTATCTCGATGCAGACAATATCGACTGTAGTGTGCACAGTCTCAAATCCCGGATTCTTCATCTTGGAGGGGTGTGTCTTTCTCTCCTTATCTCATGTTTTGTCAATAATTTTAATCACCGATGTAGAAAATTCACCAATTCTTTTCTTCCGAAGTCACACATCTCATCACCGACGTAACAGTACCGCATAGCTCGAATCCCGACAAGGAGAATAGTCAGAATGTCAGGCCTACAGCCAGTAGAATCGTTCCCGGATTGAAGAGTCCTATCAAACTTGTCAACCGGTAAGTTCTATCGTTTCTGTTATTCAATATCTGTTAAACGTGTAGTGTCAAAAGCGCCAGCGAGGACCCAACTTCATATGGGCTCGTTCAGAATGCACAACAATGGAAGAAGAAAATCTGGAGTAGCGCCAAACTAGACAGTGTGCTATCACGCTGTCTCCCAGAACCCGTACTCTCAAAGACTGCGGTTAACTCTCGCCAATCTGGCAACGCGTTGCAGGCCCCTCAACGAGCTCTCTCACGCCTCCTGCAAACCGAGAAGATCCATGGAACTACAGAACGCGATCCCAACGAGAAACGGCATGATTACCACTACTTCACGCGTGGTTCATGTTTCGTTCTTTTAGAGGATATGCGTCGCGAGCTAGCCACTATCGCATCTCATGAATATCCCATCATCAAAGACATAGAGAAGTCAGGCAAGAAGCCATGGCCGGTTCTTTACGGGCACCCTCACTGCAGGAATCCTTTCATCCCTTTCGATGACAAGGAAAAAAGAAGATGGGAACGGCAGCAGCAAGCAGAAAAGGACGAAGAGGCTGAACGCGCAGCCCGCAAGAAGCGGCAGATGCAATTAGCAGCACTCAAGAGGAAGGCACAGCAAAAAGAAAACAAGAAAGACGACCTCCGGAGAACAGTCTCCTTGAGCAACTTTCGGCGGCAATTGTTTCCAGAAGCAGAGCCAAATAATTGCGTCGATCTCGACGATGACTACGATGAGGAATCTGTCAATGCGTCGGGATATCTCGCTTCCGGGGCATACGTAGCTGCTTCTGGAAACAGCGTCGGCATCACATCGACGACGGGTACAACGTCGACTTCTGGGCATGGTCTGCGCAATGGCCAACTTCCAGCTCCGTTGCACGACCGCATGAAGCTGCATGTTGTAACTAACCTCAAGTTTCCAGCCAAGGCAGATAACAATGCCATGGGCCCGCCTTCCAAAGTGCCGAACAAGCAGCCAATATTGAGGAAGAGCAAGAGCATGAATACAGTGAAGCTACCCAAACGGGAAGAAGGCGACAAACCTGGTTATTGCGAGAGTTGCCGTATGAAGTTCTCTGATTTCAAAACGGTATTTTTTTTTTCGCACTCACCTTCGTTCTCGCTCAAGCGACTTTAATAGCACTTGGTCTCGAAGAAGCATCAGCAATTTGCTACAACCTCCACCAATTTCGAAGCACTAGACTTCGTACTCGACCGGCTTCGAAGGCGAACTCACCAAGAGATGGTTCAAGAGGAGGCCAAATTTGCATCTCAGATGCATTCCCGTTACATGGAACATCTTTCCAAGTAATTGGATTTAATTCAGCGTTGTCTGGCTGTACCCTCTATTTACTTCCTGTTCTCGTCAATCGACCCCCCCCCCTTACGGACCGCACGAACCTTGTATTTCGATCCAGCACATGTATACGATACCAACGACAGACATCAACACCTCTTAATTTTATGACTTCATGGCTTCAAGCACGATGGGGATGACAAGTATTAATTCAAAGAGACTCCTATATGATAGTTACGGTGAGAAGCGTCGTGATTCCATCAGTTGCGATTCCTAGAGCGAAGTCGGTGAGAACTGGAGGGAATCATCTATTGCCAGCCCTTACCGTGGTTGACGCTGCAAATATAATCGTCAGTTTGCATCGAAAAGCAACAGCATTTGATCTCAGCTTACCCAGCGTTTCCTGCTGGAAGGAGCCCAGTAACGTTTTGCCCAACCGTGGAGTAATGTACGCCTTTGAAAGTTTTCTTTCCTAACGCATTAGTCACCAATTGGTCTCGACCTTCGGTAGTTACTGTTAGTGCCTCGAAAAAAGAGGAGAAGGACACCACGAACCTATATTATAGCCATCTGGCACAATGGTATGGTGTTTGTTAACATCCTTGGGAAACAAAGGTGGAGATTATGCTTGTGCTGGAGGAGGTAGTGTGTCTGGAACAGACCTCTTCCTTTGAGACGCTAAGGGTTTATGGGTCAGAGCCTCTCGTTGAAGAAGAGTAACTAGACTCTTACGCTAAGAATAGGGCCTTACTGTTCGCCATAGGGCCGTTCTGTCTGTAAACCCTAAGCAAACCAATCAATAACCAGTAATAAACGGTGGGTGACGTCCTACCGAAAGTGATTTCCACCAATAAGACTTTCTAAGCATGTGCCCAATTCAGCGTTTCCATAATCCTGGCGAAGTTCCATCTTTCGAAGGTACATCAGAGCGGATGAAACACACATAGCCATTAAAGGTTCATTACCGTCTGGTTGACAAATCCATGCCCGTCCCCCAGATTGGCGGATTGTGGGTCTCCAAGATGGATTCCAAGGCATTCAGTGGAGCTAGAAGATAATAAAAAACATTTATCACCAGTGATCTAAGCGTTATGATCTGCTGGCACTTACAAGCCAATGGCCCTTGCATAATTCAGGATCCCAGCATCCGTTAGGACGGCGGAGGAGCTAAGACCGGAGACAATAACCTGGTAACAATGGCTAAGGAAAGTTGTGAATTTGAAAGGGCAGAAATCTTACATTCAAAGGTTCGCCCCCGCCCGAGCCGGCTGTGTTGGTGTGAGCAAATACGCACATGATGATACTGGTGGACCTCACCATTGTTGAGCATGGAACCTCCTCCAACATTTGGATCGTAGAAAGCGACGGCACGTTTCTGAAGGGAATCCGCTGCAACAAGGAGACAGTACGCAACAAGTCCAAGGACGGAGCGCTTCACAGGAGGAAGCATGGTTGTCCGGGAGGGCTTGCAGACCGAAAGCTTGGGCATGAAATGGTTCCCAGCCATCCTTTTATGCCCATGGACTTTGAGATCAGCCATAAACGGTACTAGCGGTTGCACCCAGGCAGACCAGAAATATAACCAAACGTGCGCGCGAACGGCATCTCGCTGGACGCTCAGCATGGTGCGAATCCGGAAGACTAAAAATAGCACGCAAGAGAGACGCAGATGATAAATTCAGCTATCAACCTCTGTCGTCGACCTTCTTCCTCAGGGTATGGGAAGGTGCATACTAGCATATCAACGTGCGTGACCGAGGATTATTTTCGTCCCTCTGAGCAAGCGTCGCCATAAGAAGATGGAGTGTTGGAGGCGCCGCTTGTCCGCGACGCGAAGTAAGAGCTTTGAGGACGCGTCGGGCGAAGAAACGACCTGGCGTGCACCGTTCAGGAGACTGTGCTATTGTGAGAACTATGACAGGCAAAGAAGGGGGGAAGAACACTGGCAGATTCAGCTGACAGCAACCAACTTGTCCAGGTTTTGGGGGTCGACGGAAGTAAAGGGTAAGTAAAATCCTCCGACGGAGCTTACTTACATCGAAGGAGAGTAAAATTTGAGAAGCGACGTGGCTACGATTCAAATGGAATCTGTACGATAGAGGAGAATTCAAAGCTCGCGCGGGAGAGGCTGTGGGGTCAAGCGGCTGAATGATGGGACCGGGTAATGCCGGCTGGTCGAACCACGTTATCCATTTTTGGCCTTAGTGTTTCTGACTGCCACAGAGGCACCGAGGGGTGCAGTGCTCAGCCGCCTGATCATGCTCCAGGTCTGCTGGACAGTGGTCAGTCTTGAATTTCAAGTTCAACCCAGCGATAGACAGCCATGAGTACTACGCCGCGGATATGTAAAGCTGGAGGGGTGGCTACGGCAGAAAGGCCAATTCTCGGAAAGGTTTCAGTGGCTCGTTTGTTACAACGAGTAAATTCTAAATTCAGCGTCAAGAGGTCACGTCACACACATCTCAATCTGCGGATTGTTGTTGGAAAGTTACCTTATTCACCTGGACCCTCCTCCGAACCATTATCCCGTCCATCCATCCACGAAAATGTCGAAAACCTTAGAAGACTCCGGCGTCATCGAAGATCCTAATGATGATGGACAGCTGACTATTCGCATCCCAAATCCTAAAGTATATATGGCGCGCCAATCACAATGGGTGGGCCGCAGAGGTAAACCGAGGTGCGACCAGTGTCGGACGAGCAATTTGAAGGTTCGTCGTATGCTTTATTCGATGTGTCGCCGGGATTTGAGCTTTATCCACCTAGTGCGATCGTGTGCTACCGATTTGCAACCACTGTTCCTGGGCAAATAACCGAGAGTGCTTGTATACGCCACTACCCACCCCGGCGCATCGTGGCATCCCTCGGTGCGACCACTGTCGAGAAAAGAATATGAAGGCCAGCTCCCTTGATGATAGTGTACTTCATTGCCTTACATTTATTCCTTTTATGGCCGCCATTAGTGCGATCGCAACCTCCCGATTTGCAATAACTGCAAGGAAACCGGTTCTCCTTGCAATTACACTCCCAAGAAGAGACAAAAGATGCAGGCCGATGGCGAATCAGTCTCCGCACCTCCAGTGGTTATGCAAGAGATGATAATCCATGATTCACCGCTGAAACTCGAGCATCAACAGGCACATACCTTCTATGGGCAGAATGTCGCCGTTTTTCACAGCAAGAGCAGGTCACTCAGCTCCTCTGACGCGGACACCACCTCCGACATGGACTCAAGCCATACAGGACGATTCACTGCAGATTTTGCAAAACCCACACGCAGTATCTCTGAATATGCGCAGCAGGCGGTGCCAATTCACGTCCAACCTCCACCCACAAAAATAGAATTCATTTCTCACCCGTATTCTTCGGAACGGAGGATTGTCCTGGAAAATGTCCACAACCTCGAGCCCTGGACACAACCTTCGTTCATCCCACTTCCCGATTACGTCGTTCGCTACCTTCACGATGTCGACCTGGTCGAAATGCCGAAGAAAACCGAATTCGAGGCCGGTCTGCAGGTATTCCGAAAGAACATGATGGAACCGCTCAGAGAGACGGCTTTTTTTCCTGCAGATCGGTATGCTGTAGTTGCGCGGTCGCTCGCTACGGGTGACATGTCGATGCTATCTGATCGCGTTCGCTCTTGGGCGCTGGTGCATCGCCTTTCCTCTGTCTCTGACAAATACAACGTCATCCTCGTCCCCCGGGACTCTGTCTATTCAATGGACGCAGCAAGCGCAGAGACGCACCGCCAGCAATTTGTCACCGACCTGCTGAGTGGGAAAAATGGCCCAGATCACCTCCAGGTATTTTCTTCTCCTTGGTGGTGAAATGTAAATTTCTGAAAACTTGCCACATAGTATCATCATTACGACCGCCTGCCAGTGCAGAACCAGCTCTACGATATTTTAACTTATGTGCATCGTTCCCATCTTCCTGCTGCCCAGATGCTGATAGAAATTGACCGTCTGAGATTCGTAAGTCTTTGAAATTCTCCGCTTTGATTCGTTCTTGATACCCTCGCATGACAGGCCTTTATCACCTGGCCAATGGCAGAAATGTATGTCAGGATGTGCCCACTGTGCAATATGCGCGCAAAGCAGTTGCAGGAACAAACACACCAAAGCATCTCCGCAGCCTAAACCTTTTTCATGACAAAGTTCGAGGACAGTGGACTTTTCTTACCTTAGGACCCATGTTTATTTTTCCGTCGTCCGTATCGTTATCGTTCATATGTACTTTATCAGCATCCTAGCGTCCTGCCTTCTCTGCGACTGGCTGCTTTCGCTTTTTCTGTACTACGTATTTGCAAGGTCCTGTATTTATCGTGTTTCCTACCTTCGTTGTTTCGGTTAATGGAATCTTCTTATCGGACACTCCGCATTTTAATGCAAGAAAATCAATGCACATTGCGAACGAGAAGACATATCATACACGGAATTCAGTCCATACAAGCTACTTACTTAAATCGTTCTTTCTCTCAAATCATTTTTGTCGAGCCGTCTATTTCAATTCGAAACTCGCAAATGCTAAATCGTATCCTCCGAATTCGTAGTTGATTTTGTCGGTCCTCTTGTAGACTCTGGAGAGCCCGTCTGGCTTGTTGCAGCGCACTTCCGTCAGTGCTGTCTTGAATGCTCGCTGAGCCGCCTCGACGGCGCTTTCGTCTCCCGTATCGTTATCCTCGCTGGATATAAATAGTGTGACGGTAATGCGACCGGGTTCGAAGATATCGACGACGCGCTTGACCAGGCCCTTGAGGTCCGGTATTTTGCCTTCGTGGGAGACGGTGGAAGTGGAGAGGGGGATGTTGCACTCGAAGCTGGCGTAGGACCATCCCTCCTCTGGGGTAACGTGGATGGTATAGTAGCCTTCACCGAAGTGCCCTGGGACGGTCCGGCCGTCTTTGCCAACGGTGAATTGGTAGTCGGATTCGAGGGATTCGTGGCCCCATTTAATAAGGGCGTTGGAGGAGTAGCCACACGGCTGGAAGGCGTAGGCGTCGAGGTCGGTGAGAGAGGGAGGAAAAATGTTCGTGATGCCAAGCTTCTCAGAAAGAGAGGCTGCCAAAGAGGATGGAGTGACTTCGGGTCCCTCGGTCTGAGAGTCAGAGAAGAAGAAAGGCTCGCTAGCCTTGGGAGAGAGGTGACTCATGAGAATTTCGATGGTATAGTCAACGTGACGATCTTCCGAGGCAAGGTGGTGAGTAATAACGGGGTCAATGCCGTTGGGCACGGAGGGAAACTCGGCGGCTGTGAGATACAGGAGCCAATGGTCGCCATTGACCTTTCCGACGGTATAGGCTGCTCCATTCTTGAAGATTTGGTCGAGATACCCGACCTCTTGTTTCCAGTCCTTGTGGGGACCAAGCTGGCGTTCTGGGAACATGAATGATTTACGGGAATAAAAAAAGCGATACACAGAGTGCATCTTTGCCTCGTTAGCAGCAATTTCCAGGATGCGAGGCAAGCCAAGGAGGTTGAGGGTTGTTCCACAGGTTTTGAGGATGAGACGATGAGGAGAGACGATGAAGGATGATTCGCTAACGGATTGTGTCAAATGAACCCGCTATGGGATGGGAGGAGGAGAACTGACCTTAAGAGGTAGGCATCGATCTCGGTGCCTTGGATGACGCTGAGGACCTTGCACTTGACAATGTCAAGCATGTCCTCCCAGACTTGGCGGGGAACGGCTCTGAGGCCTGTTTTTCCGTTACTAGCATGGTCAAGATGTGGGACGGCAGCCGCTGAAGGGGCAAACCATATTTCCAGGAGCTTTTCGGGGCCCTCGAAGGGGGCAGATGCTTGGTGATCGTGTGGGTGGGGGTTTGTCATTCGTTAATTATGCTATCGAAGAGCGCAGAGGGAGGCGACGCGGATGGCAGCGGCCGGATGCATGTACCGGGGGAAAGAAAGAGAGGTGAATGGTTGGGGTGGACGGCGACGCGTGGTGTTGTGCTCCAAGAGATCAAGGACGCACAGGACGGAGAACACAGGTGGTGCGAGTAGAGGAACCCTCGTATCGATCTTCAAATTTTAGGTTGCGCGTCCAAATGGGATAGTGATCGGACCGCCTCCACGTGAGCGCCGCATCACCGCCCCGGCATCTCTACTGCTCTTCACCAACGATGAGGGCGTTCATCCCGAGGCTGACCATCCTCAGGGCTTTCGCACCAAAAGTAGCCGCACCGCTGCTGCCAACGACGCGCGTACGACTGGCCACATCGCCTCTCACGAATACCCCCCGTCCGTCCCGCCTCTTCCACAACTTCCCCGCCCGCCTCAACTCACACCAGCCCCCCTCACCCGACCCCCGCGATGCCCTGCCCCCAGACGCATCGCTCTCTCAGAAACTGAAGCATCTCATCAAGACATATGGGTGGTACGCTCTCGGCGTGTATATCGCCATTTCCACCCTAGACTTCAGCGTTGCCTTTCTCGGCGTCAACCTGCTCGGCGCAGAATACGTGTCTCAAGTTGCAGCCTCCGTAAAGGCAACAGTCTCCAACGTGCTCCATTCGAGACCAGCAGAACCGGGCAAAGATGAGATGGATGCCGTTGGTGGTCCGGCCCAACCTGGTCAGGAGGGACTGTACGCCATGCTGGTCCTGGCGTACACCATCCACAAAACCCTCTTCTTACCTGTGCGCGTTGGCTTGACAGCCGCGTTGACACCCAAGCTCGTCCATTGGTTGAGTAGAAGAGGGTGGGCTGGCACCACTGGTGCGCGTCGGGCTGCCAGCGAGATGCGGGAAAAGATTCGCGAGAGAAAGACTCGCTCCGGTGACGATTGATCATGAATTCAACTTCCAACGGTGCGCCCTGGTCCTTGCATTTCTTTCTGAACTCATGAACTCACAGACTGTCAGGAGTTCGCTAAATCTATATTATACTCCTTAATCCACCCTCACTAAATAATGCACCATCTGCTAGAATGAACAGGCTTTTGGATCTCATCTATGCATACTTATGTTTCTTGTGAGAGTAAAAGCTAGGCGCCTGTTTGTAAATGTTAGGTGATGCCTACGTTGATCTGCATGGCAAACAGACGAGGGTTTCGACCGTTGACGTCGTCCTTCCTGCTCTGCATCACCCTTAATATGTCGCTCGCTGCTCGAAGGATCGTCCTCATCACCTCTCGGTCAAGGCCCGCTATCTCTGCTCAACGAAGAGCTGCCTCTTCGGCCTCCCATGGTCACCATGAGCATGACCACCACCATGAGCAGGATTCCACGGTTTATCCCGCAGAAAGTATGCGCACACCCCTCTTGCGGAATGCTTCGTCTTATGAACCATTTCAGGTTTTGGAGGCAGGTTTTGGAGAAACGTGGTCCTCGTGTCCATTGCAGGCGCCCTCGGACTTAAGTACGCCCCCGAACCGAGCGAGAACGTATACCTGACGCGGTGGATTGCGATGTACACTGCGCCGCGAGACTACTGGCTGTCGCTGAATGCAAAGCACACGGCGCAACAAGAGGAATACGCGCGGGTTGGGCTGTTGGTGAACGATGCCCAGCGACCACCGGTGCACAGGTTCCGATACCCCCAGTAAGTGGCGGACAGACGTGATTCATATCGGGCCTTGCTAAACTGTACGTGCGACAGAATGCTGGACCAGGCGTCTGCGTTTCTAGTGCCTGTTGGATCTGATGTGGATGTGTCTAGCGTAGTGCCCAAGGTGTAGATATGTAGTTAGTTACGCGTGTGAATGTGCTACAAACAAGTCAACGAGCAAACAAAGCAGTTGTTGCCCCTTGAACCTTTCGCTGACGGTGTGTATCTCCGACGTTGTGCACCGCGTCGTGCTCGTCCTCACGCTCCTTTCTTTTCCCTCTGCAGCCCGCCGGGTCATCCTCCCGCCTGAGGACCTATACCCCCAAACGTCCATCCTCAACACATGATTCCCCCAACCCTTCTCGCCCTCCTCGCCGCCCATGTCGTCCACGCCGCCCTCCCCCAGGTCGACTTCAACCGCATGGGCACAGTTGGCCTCGCAGGCGCGTTCGCAGGCCTAGACCTCTTTTCCGACAGCCCCGTCTCCTTCGATCCCGCCACCTCAACCCTCCTTTCCCGTGCCAAAGACGGCTCTCTCACCCGCCTCGCCTCAACAAACTCCGGGGGCTCCATCCTCGCAGGCTGCGCCCTCGACAACACGTTTTACCTCGCCGGCGACTTTTCTTCCATCAACGGCATCGCCGCATCCAACATCGCATCCTACTCCCCTTCCTCCGGTGATTTTGCGGCTGTTGGTTCAAACAGTCCCAATGGCCAAGTCAACGCCCTCTTTTGCGATACGAAGGACAACAAGCTGTGGGCTGGTGGGAGGTTTTCGTCACCGGGATCGTCGATTGCCGTCTACGATCCCGAGGCTGGATCCTGGGCTTCAGCTCCTTTCACAGGCATTGCTGGTGCCCAGGCCCAAGTCAATTCCATATCGACCAATTCCTCGGACGAGAGCATCTTTTTCGCGGGCTCATTCTTGACAGGTTTCGGTAATGCCAACGCAGCCTTAAATGGCACAAACAATCCCAACGTGCCCTTCTCGCCGGGCGCTTCGCCCTTCTCGTCTTCCCTCGTTCCCATCCCTCTGCAAAATGCCCAGATAGACGCGTCCCCTTCCTCCACGCAATCCGGGTTCTCCAACATCCAGAACGTCCTTTGCCCTGCTGGCCCCGATGGCAGTAGCAACAGTTGGTTTGCAGCAGACAATTCGACACCGCTTGTTACTGTCCGAACGTTCTCCTTCATTTCGGCAAATGGCGTGCGTCTCGGAAACACCTTCCAGCCAGACCATGGAACGACAGGCTTCACGTGAGCCCTTTATTATTTCCTTCCCTATTGCCGCGCTGAATTTTTACGTCTTATCCAGAGTGACGACTATTCCTGACAACACCGTGCAGACCCTCAAGTATGTTGATCCCACCACCGGCCAAAACACCACATGCAGCGATCCCTGCCCATTGTCAACCGACTCTTCCATCCTGTATCAAGATTTCTTGTTTGACCGCCCTCTCTCCATCACTGGCGTTCAAATTAAGCTCTCTCAGTTCACTGGCGCCAGTGCTGGGTTGCACTTCCTCCAACTTCTCTCCTCTGGTGCTTTCGCATCGTCAATCGGGCAGAATAACGGCCCGTCGTGCTTTGCCCCTGGTCCCTCGAATGCAACTCAGACAGGCCAATGGAGTGCGCTGCAGGTCGATACGGGCATCCCAGGGACGGTCCAGAACATCCTCGTCTCCTCAGTTCCCGTTGGGACATCGTCATCTTCAGGCCCTACTTTGACGTGGATGCCCTACGTCTCGGCTGCGGGAAATTACGACATCAGATTTTACGTACCAGGATGCATAGAGTTGAAGGATTGCGCTGCTAGGACCTCCGTCCAAGTCACCGTCTTCCCCGGTGGAGGCCTTCCTCCCTTCATTCAAACCGTATCGCAACAGAATACGGAAAATGCGATGACGACGGTATACAGCGGTCCTATCTTACCGACCTCGCCCGACTTCTCCACGACGATTAGAATGGCGCTTGCTGATTCACCTGTGGGCACTGGCGAGAATGGACAATGGACAATACTCGCAGATCGGGTAGAGCTCGTGTTGACATCAGCCAACGCAACAGCCTCAAGTGATGGAACGAATGGCACCGGTGGTGTAGGGGGACTTGCGCGAGGATTTGGATTCTTCGAGTGGCCTCGCTCAGCTTCGTCCACATCGGGAATAGATGGACGGAGAGCCTTCCCTAATTCAACGTTGACGTCGCTGGACACCCTCGGATTCGATGTCCTTAGCGGGTTGGGAGGTGTTAACGCCCTGGCCTCGCCCAACTTGGGTCTCAACGCGGTCGCCTTCCACTCTTCCGGCATTTTTGTTGGAGGTTCATTCGCTCTGACTTCCGGGCCAGCCTCTGGCTCATCCAACATTATTTCCTTCAAGAATGGTGTCCTGGCAGGTTTGGCGGATGGTGGTCTAAATGGAGAAGTGTTGTCGCTCCTGCTCAATGGAGATCAACTGTTCGTCGGAGGATCCTTCAAGGACACTCGCTCCGGATCAACAGGCGACAGGCTCAGCGGTATCGGAATCTACAACGCGCAGACGAACTCTTGGACTCCGCTCAACGCTGGTGTCGATGGCGCCGTTTTCAGTATGGGATTAGTTGAAAATCAAATCCAGGTCGCCGGTAACTTCACGAAGATCCTTTCATCGCCAAATAGCAATACCGGCATCGACGCGCCAGGCTTCGCTGCTTGGGACATTGAGACCTCTACCTGGGTCAACAGTGGTGGATTCGTTTCTGGCAGGATGTCATTCGTTGGCAATGCCGATTCTTCAACCCAATTCGTCGCTGGTAGCGTTTCAGCTTCTCGCAAGTTCGGCGCGTCTGGTTTGGTCATGCTCCAGAACGGCGACGAGAACGGGCCTGAGGTTTTCCCTCTCTCTGTTGACTTGAGCGGAGCCGTCTCATCGTCGGCCTCGTCCAGTTCTCTGACTCGTCGGACGCCGAAGCCACGTAGTGCATGGATGTCGCACATGAAGTTTTCCCACCTATTCGCCAGACAGTCAAGCCCCAGCCAGCAAACACCCCTACCTGCAGCTCTTCCAGCGGTTGCCCCTGCTGTTTTGGCGGGGGCTTTCTGGAAGAACGGTTCCCAGGAGGTCGCCATCCTGGGTGGCAACTTCTCCTTCGTTGCAACCGGCGCTTCAAGCTCTTCGGAAGCGGTAGCCATCTACGACCAGGAAACTTCGACAGTGCAGGGCCTTAGCGGTGCTCAGATCAACGGCATCGTTAGGACTCTCCTCGTCGTCGGCGACTCCCTGTTCATCGGAGGAGAATTCACCATCCCAGGCGCTTCTATCAACGGCCTTGCCTCGTATGATCTATCCAGGAATGCCTGGAATCTCGATGGGCTCCAGTCCTTGCAGCCAACTGCAGGATCCACCGTTATTGTTCGATCCATTACTCAGTCCGACTCACGCCCTGATCTTATTCTCGTGGCCGGCTCGTTCGCACAGGCTGGCTCTTTGCGTTGCCAAGCGATCTGCAGCTTCGACATGACGAGCAGGCAATGGAATGCTCTTGGAAACGGTATTCAAGGAGAAGTGTCATCCGTAGCGTATTCTGGCGTGCGTACTCTCGCTCTCTTCCGGCGTTCTCTCAGCTGATCTTTTTCAACAGAATAACCAGGAGACTCTTGTCGCTGGAGGTTCAATAAATCTAGCAGACAACACAGCCTCCAACGTTGTGGAATTCAACTTTGACAACGCTACCTGGGTCGCTGTTGGGACTGGGTCAGAAATTCCTGGACCTGTCACGGCCCTCGAGGTCAATAGTGGAAACTCGAGTAGTCTATTTGCTGCTGGCCAGTGAGTAAAATATGAAGTGTTTCTGCTTCGTTTATTTTAACCTTCTTCCAGGTCAAGTGATGGTACATCCTCATTCTTGGCTTTCTGGAATGGAGAAAGATGGTCGACACTAGGTGATTGGGCTTAATTACAAGCAATATGCGTTGGGGTATTGACGGTTTTCTAGGGTCAACACTCGCGCAGGGCTCAACCGTTTCTCAACTCACCATGGTCCCTCTCCAGAACACCCATACTGCAAACAGCATAATCGAAGCCGATCGTATGCTCATGATCTCAGGAGCCTTATCAACATCGTCCGGAAACGCATCTTCAGCTCTTTATGACGGACAATCCGTACTCCCTTATATTGTGTCGACTTCCGCAAGCGGCACAGCTGGCTCAGTGTCCTCGCTCTTTCATTCTTTCAAAACTTTCAGCTTCGCTCAAAGGCGTAAGTTTTGCTTTCTTACTGTCTGTCACAATATCCTCACCCTTTTGTCATTAGGATTTTTGGCCACTGGTGTTGTTATTCTTATCTCGATTGCAATCGCGGCAGGAGTGGTATTCCTCCTCGCACTCATCGGCATTCTATGGACTCTCTTCTCCCGGAAAGATGATAAACTCAATAAATATGATGTCGCTCAAGAAGAGGACGACGATTCAGCTCATCACCGACCATCATCCCTGCTGGAACATATCAATGCTGCCACCCGCTCTACTATCATGGGCGCTAGTCCTTACAGCAACTACAATGCCGAGAAGGAAGAGAAGTCCACTGGTGGTCCTCAAGAGCAAGATCCATTTGGCCCAGACGCCAGCAATTACCTGCGTGCAGAAACACCTTCCGATGCCATTGGTGGCTTACTGGCCGAGGAGACAAGTCGACCAGCACATGCCAGATATTCTTTCGATGGCACAGGCGAAGGAGAGCTGCCACTGAATGCTGGAGCTGAAGTCGAGGTTCTAGATGATAGAGATCCTGCGTAAGTGGCGTTACATGTTTTCGTGATTGAAGCTAATGCTCATTGAATAGGTGGTGGTATGCCCGCGATGTGCGGAGTGGGCAAGAAGGAGTGGTTCCTGCAGCGTATTTGTATTAGAACTTTGACTTGACTTTCATTGCTGTTTATTATTTGCATTGTTACTTGTCCTATACCCACAGTTTGTCATGAGTTATTTTTGTTTTCGATGTTGGGTTATTCATTCATGACACAAGAATATCATTCTATCTAATACATGAAGAGAAATCCAGAATGGAATTTGTCTTCGATAGGATGGGAAATGTGAGGCAATCACTATTGAAGGACTGAATAAAGCAGAGACTATCAGCTTGATGAGTGCTATAGCAAAAACTAGAAACTTACGAGGATCTCGGAAGTGCTTTTGACTGTTGTGAATAAAGCCCACTTTGGTTTTGAAAGCCTCTCTTCTTTTTTGATCTCGGAATTCCCGAACATGGCGTCCAGCCTCTCGAGCTTCGCCTCTATTTCTGGCCTTGACCACGTCTGTCCCACCGCCGTAGGCTCCAAACCCGCCTTTCCGCGGTACCAAACAGGAATTTTTGTCTGCCAGCAACCTACGCACCAGAGCCGCCCCAGAGTTGGGATCTTCGGGCTTGCTTCCACGCGGGGCACCAGGAAACGATTGGGCGTAATACTTGCGCATGGTTCTGTGACCTATTCGCGCACCAGATGGTAGCACAAGCTCGTAATTCGTATCACCGTACGTGATCTGGCCCTCCGGAAGATCATCTTCACCCGAGCTTGTCTCATCGGACTCGGATTCATCGACAATCTCATCAACTTCACCGTCATCCACGTCCTCGGCATCTTCCCATTCTTCTTCCTCCTCGTCGCTGCTGGCTTGCGTCGCTTTCTTCTTCTTTAACTCCACAGATCCAGCGTCAGGGTATGAAGAGGTGAAATCGTAGAAATCCGATATTTCCAGACGGTCGCTCTCCGTTTCGAAGGAGATCTTGCAATGGCTCTTGTCAATCATGTGTTTCCGCACAGCATCCAGGCTCCTAAACTCGCGGCCCCGTTCGTTGCAAAAAATGCAGACATTGCCCACAGCGATTTTCTCTCCGAGATAGCTGATTAGGCCGGGAAGATCGATGAGGTACTCAGCGTCGGGGATAAAGAACGAGTGGGCAGTCGACATATGTGTAAGATTTTCGTCCAGGGTTGGGTATTGCTCGCTGCAGAACAGACAAGACGGAGGAGAGAGTCTGGCACGGGCAGCAGCGATCTTCTCTTCGATTGTTTTGGTGATTTCCTCCTCAGTTGCGTTTTCGTCAACTATCAAAGAAGTGGATGGCGCTAGTGCAGGTGCAGGTTGAACAGCAGGAGCGGCAGCGGCAATTACTGGAGTCTCTTTTTCTTCTACCACCTCTGCAGCAGGTGCCGGCTGGGCTTTGAGAGCAGCTTTGGTTTCATTCTCCTTGTGCTTTTTGGATTGGATGTGCGACCGGTATGCATTTTCGGTTGTATATACTTTGCTGAAAAGACGAGCTAAATTATGGAACCGAAGATATAGGCAAAGGTGACTTACTTGCACACTTCACAAGACGACCCCTGGGCTGATGACATGACCGCTGTCTCCGTCCTCCTTTCCAACACCTTCTGGTTGAACACTTCCACACTAATGGGAGGCAGGGAAGCAACTCGGCGCTTCATATTATACCTGTGGTGGTCGGATCGGTAGTGGACCCCTACGAGACGATATTTCGATGAGCACTGAAATTTGCCTAAAGAAAAAGACTGACTCTGATCCTCTGGTGAGAGGAATGCAATAGAGCATGATAGGCAGGTAAACAGCTGCGAATTCTCAGGAACTTGGGCCATTTCGATGGGCGATGGTGGTGGGTAGAGTCTGAACCTTTTGGATGACTAAACCCTGAAGATAATCGCATTGATCGCAAATAAAATAATGACGTAATTGGCCGCTCAGCCCTGCAGACGATGGACAAGGATGGTCGTATCGTCCATCCACCTAAATTCCATCTCGACTGTGAGCATGCGCGACACCTTCTCGATATCGTCCCCTCCTAGCGCTTCTCTTAGCAGCCCAAGCGCCAGATTCTTCTTCTGGTCGAAGTTGGATCCCACATAATTCACCCATCGCTTCGACAAGACCTGCTCGAGCTTCAGCCGGTTTGTCTCGTCCAGATCCATCATACCATCCGTGCACATTATCAGAAACGCGGCATCGGAATCCAACGATGGGAGGTGGACGTGTTTTATATCTGGCACACCCGACATGTAGGGAGGGGTCAAATTCCGCCGCGTGAAAATGCGAACTTTTTCAGGTATCACGAATCCAGGATGTGAGTTTAGAAAGACGCGTGAGGTGTAAATTGCAGGGAGCTTGAAGCTGAAATCTCCGATGGCTACACGGCATAAGCAAGAGGTCCTCGGGGAAGGTATATAGTTTGCTCACCTCGCGTGACCGCGATGGCACCTAAAACGCGATCGTCAAGGATGCATGCTGCCTCTCCTGGATGTTCGCTCCTGACCCTCTCAGCTTCGGCCGCGTTTTCGCCATTATGCGCAGTGCTGAGCACCCTCGTCTTCCACTCGCCACCCTCTCGCGTCCCAAGTACTGGGTACATGGTTAGACTTTCGCGCCGGTATAGCGGTCATAACACAACACACCTGCGGCGCAGTCGCCCAAACTCGCCACCCACACATTCGACTTTGATGGGTCGGTAAGTGAGATAAGGACGGTGGAACCGCGGACGCAGCGTAATACGGTTGCGGAGTTGGGGCCTTTGTCGTTGACAATCTGTCGAATTTCGGCGTCGCTCATGTTTGACAGTGCTGCTTGGTCGGGAAAGAGATCAAGAACAGCTTTGCCGATGCTTTCATCGAAAGAGGATATGGCGCGCGTCAACGCGTCACTTATGACCGAAGGCTCTGGTTGCGTGTCCTTCTCGAGTATCGCAGTCAGCTCGCCTTTGATAATCTTGGGCAATTTGGCTGCTGTGTAATCTACTGTCTCGTGGCCTGCGTGGCCTGTGTGGACGTATAAGAGACCGAAAAGCAGACGACGGGAACAAAAAGGCAAACCGTCAAAGACTCCACGAAAGAACCAAGTGCCGCCGGGCAACGACCAGTCCAAGATCCTGGCGCGGTCTTGGTTGTAGTGGTCGGGATTCGGGCATGGTTGAAACGAGAGGACGTCGGTGTCGCTAACAGAGCTCGCACGAGACTGTCGCTGAAGTTCTGCGGATAGTTTGGGCTCAGGTAATACGGTGTAGATCCAGAGTGCGTCTTCCTGAGGCCAGCCCATGTCGGTGGTCTTCCTGACGTACGACATAGTCGGCGACTAGTAAGTGGGTAAGGTGGGGCATGAATAGGATGGTGGGTAGTATTTAAGTGAAAACGAACCAAATGATATGGTAGAACGGGGTAAGGATGAGGAATGGGGCCTAGGGGAAAGTACAAAGGGATATCTTGGGTTCAGAGGATCACATGATGCCTAGTGGGAAGGCGACGCGAGTCCGGTGAGGGTGAGGAGTGAAGTACAATGAGGAGAGACGCGCCGGAGAATATTCAGAGAGCAAAGAATCATGCATTAGCGGGCAAAGGATACGGTAGAGTACAGCAAGGAAGGGAAAACGCGTAAGAAGAGGGATTATGCCTTGGTCTGTGGTCCGATTGAGAGAAGGAAGAAAAGGGTAGAAGGTGACCGGTGAGGACGTACGGCGAAGCCAAAGCGTTCAACGCGTTTCCTCCTCCTCTCCAGCTCCTCCTCAAGGCTTCAGGATCGATTGTCTCTGCAGGCCGCTTCCTGTCGTTGGTTCGAGCAGCCTTGGGGATGATGTTGAAGCGTCCTGCGCGCTCTGCAAGCTGCTATGGGATGTGTGGGAGACGTAAGAAAGGCAAAACAAAAGGAAATGAAGCCCGGGAAGCTCCTATGTAGGGGTTTGTCCGTCGAAATTTCTGGTTCATGCGGTTGAGTTGAGCTTTCGAATTACTGATGACCTGTCCGGTAAGGGCCGAGATTAGATGAAGGTTTGCTCTTATCTCTTTCCTCTAACTGTAATTGCAAGCGGCCTGTGCCCCCAGCGTTCCCTCGAGTCGTCGAAAAGTAATATATGTGAACGCTTTCGTGTGGTACAATCGCAAGAACACCTCTAAGGATAATAATTCTAAGATTGTGTTGTTCCTCCAGGATTCTTGGACGGTGAATGGAATCTGGATGTCCTCTCCCAGGAGGGATTCGACAAAATGAAGGAGATCATTTTGGATATCACCAGCGCCACTCCCCCATTGTAGCCGTGCCATTCCTTACCTTTATGACTTCTGTTTCTTCCCGACTCCGCGACGTGGGCCCTGTCTGATGTCTCCTCCACGTCGAGTGGGGTTGAAGCACATCTAACCTTGAATTCGATGTCATCCACAAACTCCAAAGCAGAAGCTAGCGATCGCCGATGCAACCTCTCTCTCGCAATATCCTTCGGCCGTGTAAAGTGGATGTAACTGTTGAACATGGTGGATTGAATCACTAACATGGGGCCGTGCTTGATACGGCGGTGTGACGAGTCTGGTCGCAATGTCTCACACAATAAACGCGGGCTGAAGTCCCGAGCAAGCTCATGCCCCACAGGCGAGGAAGAGGACAAGTGTCGAGCATGGTGCTGTACAGGCGCCGAAGCTGTTCATCCGCTTCAAGGCGAAGACCAGCGTTGTTTGCCCAGCTGTTGTCTTTAATCTGGGCGATGAGAACGGGTCGGCGGCCTGCATCGAATACGATCAAGAAGGTGAAGTCGAGGGCATCCCTCGCGGCATTGTCGCTAGTAGGAAGCTTCTGCGGCGCGGCGAAGAAAGTGAAAGATTCCCCAAAGCAGTAGTTGAGGAGCTTGTCGTATGGTCCATAGTAGCGACTTTCCAGAGGCTTGTTCTTGTCGCGGCAGATTTCGAAGATCTTGAGCAGACCTGCTGGCCAACTGTTTTCAGCGGAGAGTGGCATGCTAGGCGATGGGGTTATATAGGTTATAATTGGGGATGCAGGCACGACACAATTAGGGGCGCACACGTCGGGTGTTGGTTACGGAGAAAGAGGCGTTATCGAAGAGAATCACAATCCCTGGTACTTCCATCCGGGCCAGAGCCTCGCTCTGTACAGATCGCCAAGTATCGTTTGTGGATTTTCCTGCGCGAGGTGAGTGTCACACACTGAGACGCTATGAACCAGATTCGCTTTGACCTAGAGGATGAATTATGTTATGGTATACCAAAAAAAACATTGCGAGAGATATCACGCAGTCTCATCCTCGGGCACGGCTGGAGGATGTCGGTATCGCCAATAGAGTTCGTGCAAGACTGGCGTTGAAATTCTGCGGATAATTTGGGCTCAGTAACAGTGTAAACCCAGAGAGCACGGTGGTCTTTTTGACATACGACATAGTTAGTCACTAGCAAGTGGGTGGGGCGGGGCGTGAATAGGACGTATTCAAGTGAAAACGAACCAAATGGTGTCGCAGAATGGGGGAAAGTAGGAAAGTGCAAAGGAGAGGATCACAAGATGCTGATGTGGGTGCAATGCGAGTCCGCTGAGTGACGGCACAACACAGAAAAACGCGTCGGAGAGCGTTCAGAGAGCAAAACATCATGCATTAGCAGGCAAAGGGTACAGTAGAATACAGCAGGGAGGGGAAAACGCGTTGAAACAGAGGAATTAGGCCTTGGTCTACGGTCTGAGTGAGATAACGAAAAAAAAAAATATAGGAAGTAGGGACGTACGGGGAAGCCAAAGCGTTCTGCCCGTTTCCTCCTCCTTTCTAGCTCCTCTGGGTCAACTGTCTCTGCAGGTCGCTTCTTGTCGTTGGTTTGGGGAGCAGCTTTGGGGTCCTTTGGGGTGATGCCGAAGCGTGCTGCGCGCGCTGCGAGTTGCTCTGGGCTCTGTGGGGCGTGTGAGAGAGGTAAGACGAAAGGAAATGAGACCTACCACGGTTGTTGCAGCTGGAACAGGTTGTTTAGCCTCCGGAGTGCGTTTCTGGGTTTTTGGTTGCTTGGGTTCAACAAGAGGGATGCCGAAGCGGGCGGCGCGAGCCCTGCGCTTCTCAAGCTCTGGGTCGATGTCGGATGCAGTTGCAGAAGTGACGGTGGTGGTGGTATCAGTAGTGGTAGTGGCTGTCGGCGCTGGGGTTGGGACAGCGACAGACGCGGCTTTTGGGGGTGACGCCGGGGCGGCGGGGACGGGGACGGGTGCTGGGGCTGTTTCAGGCTGGTCTACATTCCAGTCGACCCTAGAAGAGGTGAGAAAGGGAAGAAAAGGAGGGTGGGGAACGTACTCTTCGGGGGGCGCGAGGAGGTCGTCGGGGGGATAGAGGGAGGCATAGGCGTCCTGGGCGGGCTTGCTGGCGAGGATGCGGGTGATGAGGTCGCTCTTTGTCGCCTTTGCGGGGGCTGGGACGGTGGCGGTGGCGAGGATGTGCTTGAGGTCGACGACCTTGAGGGCCTTGAGCTTAGCGTCCATGGGAGAGTGGGGTGTGACGCGTGACAGTTCTGAGTGGCCAATGGAGTGCGCTGGCCAATGGGTGTGCGAGTTGCAGCCATGCAGAACGAGACAGCGGATCTCCACCAACAGCAGAGTCTCTTTCCCAACTTTTTCGACAGGTATCCCCAGGACCTCTTTCCCCAGGAGTCCGACAGATCACACCCAATCGACGACGAGCCCCTCTATGTCAACGCCAAGCAGTACTTCCGCATCCTCAAGCGCCGCGTCGCCCGCACCCGCCTCGAGGAGGTCCACCGTCTCTCCCGGCAGCGCAAGGTATGTCCTCATCAACGTCCGTTGGCCGAAGCTGACTTGTTGGCAGCCATATCTCCATGAATCGCGCCACAAGCATGCCATGAGGCGCCCCCGCGGGCCAGGCGGTCGCTTCCTCACCGCAGACGAGATCGCCGCCCAAAAGGCCACAAGCCAACCAGAGTCCTCCAATCAGGACCACGACATGGACGACGACCTCCAGCTCTCCCCCGATGCTGAACACGAGCCCTCGCCACTCCAGACTCCGACCCCTGCGCCACCACCTTTCAGCATCCAACCCCCTCCTATGGCCAACATCGACTACCATCGCCAGCATATGGCCATCCCCCATACCATCCACACACCCACCCCCCCTCCAATCGCCACACCCACACTTCACAAGCAGCAGCAGCTCTTTCCTCCCCAGCAACAGCAGCTCAATCACGCCTCCCACCACCACCACCATCCCCACAGTCATCCCTCCAAGACTCCCTTCAATGCTGCTCCCGTCACCCTCAGTTCTCCGTATCCTGCTACCATTCAGATGCATCACGTCCCACACCCCCATGCCCATGCTAGGCACCACCACTCGAACTTTGCAAACTATTCCACCTACAGTCCCGATCCCATGGCGCAGTCTGCCAACCTCGAAATGCAGCGCCGCACCGAGGAAATGATACACTTTGGCACTGCCGGTCCTTCTTCCTCTTAATCAGCTTAATGGCATCCACTTATCTACTGTTTTTCGAGTTCAAAATTTATAGTAAACAATGACCAGTTATGGTTCCACATCCATCGCGTTCTCGTCCGCCTCTACTGGCCTCGTCTCCTTTTCCTTCTCTTCCTTCCTAGCCTCTGATAGACCAGAATCATCGGATAGTCGTGGTAGCGGTCTGAATAACACAAGTGCTTGGCTGGCGCCAGGAGATGACACTGCAGGCAATGATTCTTCGGGTTTCTTGTTGAGGATTCGATCAAGCAAGGCAGGGTTGATTGTGACGTTCTCCTCGTCCTTCTCCTTCTCTTCCTCTTCGTCGTCAGATTCAGTGAAGGCCTCAAGGTCTGTAATCACAATACCTGAACCAACATCAGCCTCTGAACACGAAAGAAGTAAAGTAAACTCACGATCAGGCTCTGGCTCATACCAGGACGACGTCTTCATTTTAACCTCGGGTATAGTCGGCTCCTCTACCGTATAAGCTGGCTCCTCCGTGACAGGAGGTGTCGTGTCCATGTCCATAGCATTCGAGGGAGTGACAGGCGGTGGAATTTCCTCGACGTGAATGTACGAATCCTGTGGTGCTGGTGGCAAGGACATCGAGTAGTCGTTCGAGGCGCTGCTACCAACTATCGATAGATGCGCGAATCCATTCTCGAGGTTGCTGAACCGCCGTCGTTTGGCCGGAGGGCGAGCCAGAGAGCGCGAAGCAGGACCTGGGGCGTCGTCGGAATCCTCCTCCGGAGTCACGGCTTCAGTGTGCTTGCGCTTCATCACGGCGGTGTCGAACCAGGGATGGCGGAAGTGGGATGTTGTCGTCCAGGTCTGACACGAGGCCATAGTTACTTGTGCTGGGATAGCTGGAGGGTGCGCCCTGCGCTGTTGGCGATCTATAAGTAAACAGCCGAGAGACTCACGTCTTGAACCATCCATGACGTTCCAGAAGTCACGTGAATTGCACCCATACACATCCACAAGTCCAATTTCAACTCGGGCCCCTGTCCGATTGTTAATTTAAACTCAATCCCAGCCTGTAAAACGCGTCGTCGGGCTGAGTATGCCTCCTTTTAATCCCCTTGCCTCCTTTTCCCCCGGTCTCTTGATCCAATGCTCCGGCTTTCTTTATTTTTCCTCGTTCTTTTCGTTGTGACTCTCGGGGCCTTGGCTAGTCCAAGGTCCGTGCGGCAACTTAGGCGCCAGAGCGCTTCTTTTGTCCTTCCAGTCGCAAGGCGCTCAAGATATCAAAGACCAAGCGGTGTCAAAATCTTCAATCCCCAATATATTGTAATGGACATTGTTTTCTCCGAGTCTCTGATCATCGTGACTGACACCGCTAACAGAAAGAGGAAATACGCCGCATCCTCGTTAAATATCAAGATGCAGGAAAAATACTCGCAAGTGTTGGTACCAACCCCTCTCAGGACCTCAATCAATATTTTCCAGTCAACTCGAGCGCTTCACCGTCCTCCGAGTCTGTCTCTTCAAGTTCTGTCAACACCGAGCCTCCGTCGCTTCCGGGCCCCACTGTCATCCTGACCTCGGATACAGCGAAGATGCAGCTGACGGATCTGATCGATGGATCGATTGACCTGATGTACTATGGACCGCTGAATATCGGCACCCCTCCTCAAGAGCTTACAGTCGACGTTGATACGGGCTCTGCTGACCTCTGGGTCCCTGCAGACTGCATGGCGTGCTCCAATAGACAATTTGACAAGAACGCGAGTTCGACGTATTCTGAGCAGGGGACTGGGTTTAATGTTTATTATGTTAGCACCCCGATGATTTCTTTCAAGCCTTACCTTGACGGTCTCTGTACAGGGAACGGGAAATGTTTACGCCGAATCGGCGAAAGACGTCGTATCCATCCAAGGCCTCTCAGTCCAGAGCCAAGCTTTCGGGGCCGTCTCTCGTGTATCGGAGGACTTCAATGGCTATCCCAACAGTGGCTTGCTCGGGCTCGCTTTTAGCACGATCGCTTCATCGAAACAGCCGACATTCTTCGAGAACCTGATCAGGGAAAAGCAGCTGGCTGCTCCGATCTTCTCTGTTCATCTGGCAAGGAACCAAGAAACTGGGTCGGAGGTGCGATGTCGAGATTTTACGCCGTCCCGCTTGCTGATTTTTCTGGCCTAGGTTTGTTTTGGATGCTTAGACAAGGGAAAAACGACTGGACCAGTGTCAATGGTACCGGTAATGTCGAAGGTCGGCGTGTCGGGATTAAATGAAGGTTAAGACTTACGTTGCCCATCAGACATACTGGGCTGTGCGACTCGATAGCATCTCAGTGAACTCAACCACTGCACCAGCAGGCGATGTTATCGCCGTGAGTTCTTCGAGATTGATTTTTCTTTTCTTTCTTAATCTCTTGTAGGCCATTGACACAGGGACGACCCTAATCTACGTGCCAGCGAACTTGGCGAGGCGATTCTATGACATGGTACGTTAGTTAGATCTTCAAATCCGGCGCCTATAAAAGACCTTCTACCTTTTCTAGATACCTGGCGCAAAGCCGGCGCCCGAATACGATTCGGGTACGTTTTCGTGTGCGGTCATGATGCAGTGAATGACGTTTTCCTGCTCAGTGATGTTCACATATCCTTGCGACGCGGATTTTATCATTTCCCTCTCCTTCGGCGGTCAAAACTTTGCTATCAATAATGCTGACTTCAACATGGGTGAGCTCAACGAAACAATTAGAGCGGCTTGAGACTGACCATTTAAGCAGGTCCAACTGAGGCTAATTCTACGTGAGTGGCTTCAGATCTGTCCCGCGATAAAATTGAATCATGTCTGCTTTAGAGACTGTGTGGGAGGGATACTAGGTCTTGGACAGGGCTTTCCGGACAACCTTGCAATCATTGGTACGTCCCCTTCATCGAATCAATAAGACGAGTCTGACCGACGGCCACAGGTGATGAGTTTTTAAAATCCTGTGAACTCGCTCGTCATAAAATCTCGCTGTCAACTCAGACTCACCTATTCTTAGGGTACTCGACTTTCGACTACTCCGACGACGCACGTATCGGGTTCTCTCCCAGCATCAACAACAAAGTCTGAAGCTCGAGCTTGTAGATGTGTCCGGAATTATATATTAGCGATATCCTATGTCAACAAAAACAACCAACAGTCTTCTCTGTACACTCTAATTTGTCTTGAGGGTCTTGGGGCCGGTCCCGAGGACCTTGCGCCTCTGAGCGATCATGTAAGTGTACATAACATACAACCCTGTTCAGAAAGAAAGCATTAATGACGCTTCCCGAATGCAAACATGAAACCGACGTACCAGGCCACCAGATAGCGAAGAGGAGGGCACGTCCATAGTCTGTGGGCTTCCACATGCCCTTGAGCCACGATTGCCACCCAGGGAGAGGCGAGGAGCTGGGGAGAGTTGCGTACGTGAGGAACGCCTCAGAAGACGCGCCGAGAGGGTAGAGAATGAAGAATGTCGTGTAGCGAAGATAGAGAAGGGGGTAAGGGTTGGATCCAAGAAGATTGCACGCGTAGAACGAGTAGCGAATGACCTCCGTCATGGCCCAGGCGAGGACCATGCTGGTATACAAAGGATTCGAGCGAACCTGTAATCAAAGCAAAAGCATTGTAACGAGGAGAGTACGAAAGGAAACAAAGGCAGACGCACCTCAGGGAACTGTTCCGCAATTCCCCAAACCAAGAAGAGTCTGCTCGACACCTGGATCGCCGTCGTCGCGATAGGGCTTTTCACCCACCCAGTGAGCGCATGGACGACCTCAAGCAGTGCAAAGCTCTGTACGAACGCCGTCTGCGGCCCGAGGCGCGCAAAGGTCGTGCTGGTCCTTTGGTATATCGGTTGAAGGAAGGCAGGAAGGCGCGACTGGGGAGCCTTGGATGAGGAAAACAGACGGGACAACAGAGAGGTGGCAGTTGTCGAGTTGGGCGAATAGAGGACGTCGGATTTGCCGTCGAGGTTGAAGAGGTGGATGAGTGTTAGAAGGAGGACGTAGGTCCATCCAAGAGCGGAGAGGACGTTGTAAGCCACTAGGTAGGCCTTCAAAGCAGGTGGAACTGCTGGCGGGGGATGAGGGCATTGGGCGGTCAAAGAGCACGGACAGCAAACCTTTTTTCCTCACAGAGGCCGTAGATCTTACAGTATCTTTAGCAGTCATTTTATGCGTAGAGTGTGTCGTAACAAGTTGTCAAAAGCAAGGGTCGTCTTCGTCGTTAGCGACGCGTAAATTTCGCGCACGTGAGCTCAGTCTTTGACGCGCCTCCCCAACACCGGGTAAAAAGACAAAGCAGGATATATTCCACAGAGATGCCACATAAATGAAAGGTATAAATAAATGCTGTGTACATCATCACATTATTTCGTCTATCGTCATGTCTGAATCTGCGACTTCAGTCAGAGGTTCGAAGGCAGGTTTGGCGTAGCTCCCAGAGTTGAGTTTCGAGTTGTGGATGCTGCCATTGAGGCTTTGGGTGACATTGACGAGCGGCAGGCGGGCGACTCTCGTGATATTCGTCCGGGGCTTGCTGTCTCCTAGGTATCGCACGGACTTGTACATGTCGAGTTCGTTCTGCAGCTCATTGTTCTCGACGACGACGTTCTCTTGCTCGCGGGTCAGCTGGGCAATTTTCTGCAAAGTGTTTAGATTCGGCCCAATTAGAAAGAGGGTCAGACGTACGTGTTTTGCCTCTGCCAACTCCCTTCGGATACGGTCGACGTACATGATTCGTTGAGCCGGATTGTTGTGCCCCAGGATCTCCGCATTAAATTTACTAATGCGATCGGCCTCTTCCTCTGCGATCTGCTTGCGCGTGATGAGTGTGCCTACTTGGTCGGACAAGCTGTAGTAGGCTTCTTGAAAGCGCTCTGCTTCTGTAATCTCTGCCGTCAATCTGTGAGGTTGAGCGTCAGCGATGATCAAATAAATTCGAATGTAATAGGTACTGCTCAATCTCAGCGCGTAGAGCCTCTTCTGCCGATCTGTTCTTTTGAATGGTCGAAGTCAGCCGCTGGATGGTATCCTTTTCCTTCTTCAATGCAGTCGCATGAACAGAGGCAATACCGTCGAATTCTTCTTGCAAACGGGCTAGTTTGGATTCAAGAATGGCAGCAGAGGTTTTCAGGTGCTCTGCCTCTTCGGTGGCTTGCTTCAGTCGCTCCTCGCTGTCGGCCCTGTCCTTTTGTACGGTCTCCAGGCGAGCAGCAATCATCTCGTGGGATGCGAGTGCGCTGGATAAGTCAGATGCACGCTGTTCGGCAAGTGTTACAGCATCTGCGTGTTCTTTTACGAGGACGGTTGAGGCGAAATGGAGTTCATTACTCTTGAGCTGATAATAGCGGGATGTTAGAGACTCTGTAGCTGCGTCGACACGAGCCAGTTCCACTGCTCTGTCGCGAACATCCTGCGCGACGTTGTCCACAGTTGCGGATTGTTCTTCGGCTGGCCGACTTTCAGAAAGGTTGGCTAGGAAGGCTATTTCTTCCAAAGCGTCGCGCAGGAGATGGCTAAGGTGAGTGTTGTCCTCTTTCACTTGGCGGAAGAGATGCGTGAGCTCAACGACCTGGCCCTCCGAGTTGGTAAGTTTTCGTTCGAGTCGGAACTGTCGGATTTGCAATGCGGCATAGTCGTGTTGCAGACGCTTGTAGGCTGCCAAGGACATGCTCTGCGAGACAACGGTGGCGTATTGTCGCGCAACTGTGTCCAGCAAACGCCGATGTTGCTCGAGTTGCTCGAGGAGTTCGCCCTCGTCTGCGGTCTTCTCGTCCTGGACATGACGGAGTCTGTCCTGCGCCTCAGAAGCCTCTGCTTTGGTCTTGGTCAAATGGACCTCCACATCGTGCATGGCTGCACGCAATGCCTGCCTTTCTTCGTCAAAGAGGCGTTTACTATCCTGGGTCTTGTGCTCGAGGAGGTCGCGTTTCTTCTTCTCTGCTTGGAGCTGCCTCTCGAGGTCTGCTATTCGATGATCGCGCTCCTTGAGGTCATCCTTGCGTTTGATCTCAAGAGCTTGGAGGAACTTGCGGAGTTGGGCGATTTCTGGTTGCTTGGAAGAGAGCTTCTCGCGGTCTAGTTCGAGGAGTCGGAGTTTGTGGCGCAGATCCTTGAGCTCGCTTTGGTCGATTGTGGCATTCTTCTTGAGGTCCTGGACGAGAGCTTCAAGTGTAGCTGTTTGCTTCTTCTGCTTGCCGAACTTGTCGGTCTGGTCGGAGAGTTGTTTCTGAGACAGGGCGAGCTCCTGCTTGAGCCTCTCGAGTTCGGCGTTGTGCTAACAGCGGCGTAAGTGGAAATGGAACACGGGATGAAGACATCAACGCACTGCTCTCTTGCCATCGAGATGAACCTTCTCGAGATCCGCCACCTTCTTCTGTAGAGCGGCGTATTTCTCGGCAAGTGATTGGGTGGGGGATGCCTTGATTTTCTGGGCTGCAGTGCAAGTTAGAAAGGTACGAGGAACAGGGCAGTGCACAGACCTGGAGCCGTTGGCTGCTTATCCTTGCTGAAACGATCTGCCCTTTCTAGGAAGGCTCCGTGTTTGTAGTTGTCGAGCATGGATTCTAACAGCGGGTTAGAGGGTGAGTGGAGGGACAACGCGATGACAAACCTTGTGGGATGTTGTAGGCGCCAGGAGGGGGTACATCTGAGGCTGCAGGGGTGTTAGCTGGAGGATTTGAGAGAGAAGAAGAGGGACCTTTGAGGTGCTCGAAGCGGGGCCCTCTTGGGAACATGGGAGGGATGGTTGAAGACGCGACGCGCGAGGTCACGGGGTTTGGTAGCAAGAGAAATAAATAGAAGCGCGGCGCTGCCTGTCTGCACCATGTCAGTCGACCAGCACGCTCCCAGCCCGCCTCCCGCGCAACAAGCGGCCCCTGCGCCCGACAACGCACCCGCTCAGCAAACCAACGGCGCACCCCGCCCCAGCGTCGACAACCAGCAGGGCCAGCACCCGAAGACGCCAACCGACAACACCCACGACGCGTCCACGCTCACCCAGCCTCCAGACACCTCAATGTGCTCTCCAAAGAACCCCTCTTCAAATGCTTCAAACCACCCCCAGCACCGCTCCTCATTTCTCTCAAAGCTCATCCACTTCCTCGTCCCCTGCATCACACCCTCCAACGCACACCAAATCGACATCCCCGACCAGCCCCAGCCCCAGCCCCAGCAGCCCCCCTCAGAAAAACCAGCTGCAGAGCTCGAAAAGTCTCCGCCTGCCCTCCAGACTCCCCCGGACCCTTCCCCACCCACTGACCTCCCAAAGCCCTCCATAATCACTGACGCACGCCCAGCCACCCCGCTCGCAGACGATGCTCAACTCATTCTTCCCCCAACCCCAACCACACAGCTGCTGCCTGCAGAGGAAACAGAGGGCATGACATCCGGTGCTGTCCAACCCCCAGGCTCCAAGGGCGACACTCCAATACACGAAAAGCCTCATCCTTCTCCCACTGACACCGCTGTTGACGAAAACGAGTCCGAGGGTAGCTTTACCGAGGACGAAGACCTCGACGACCAGGAGGAAGAGGACAGACTGATTCTCAACGGTGGTGCAGGCATCCCAATCGGCCCAGTGAGTCCTACTCGCCACCTCTTTTTTTATTGTTCTCATCGCGTCCGAAAGGATGGCGTGCCCAAGCCCCTCCTTCCTCCTATTTCTCCACAGCACGCTGGCAGAAAATGCCTCGTGCTCGACCTCGATGAGACGCTTGTTCACAGCAGCTTCAAGGTTTGCTGCCGTTCCCTTGACGTGCCACTCATGACTAATCCTTTCCATCAGTCGATATCCCAGGCTGATTATGTCGTTCCTGTGGAAATCGAGTATCATTGGCATAATGTCTATGTCATTAAGCGCCCAGGTGTAGACAACTTCTTGAAGAAGATGGGTGAAATTTATGAAATCGTCGTCTTTACTGCCAGTTTAAGCAAGGTTAGATCCCGTTTTTCTTTTTCTGAAGTCTATCTAAACCCTCCATCTGTCATAGTACGCCGACCCCGTCCTCGATAAGCTCGATATCCACCAAGTCGTATCACATCGACTTTTCCGAGAGAGCTGTTACAACCACAAAGGAAATTATGTCAAGGTTAGTTTTCTTCCCTTTTTCTTCTCAGTCACTTGTCTTAAAGCCGCTCAGGATTTGTCACAACTGGGCCGCCCTATTGCGGACACCATCATTCTCGACAATTCTCCTGCTTCATATATCTTCCACCCGAACAACGCTGTCCCCGTCTCTTCATGGTTTAATGACCCTCATGACACCGAGCTAACTGATCTGGTCCCATTCCTGGCTGACCTCAGTGGCGTCGAAGATGTTAGAGGGGTGCTAGACGGCGCTCGGTAGACCACGCCCTCTAATTTGTTCTATGTTCTGTCCGGTACGTTGGTCGTAACGTTGACAGTCCCGGATCGCTTACCGCGCGTAGATACCTCTCTCGTACCCCATCGGTATACACACCTAAACAACCCTGCCCTATACCCCGCAAGCCCTCCAGTCCATCCACACCTCATACGGTCAACGTCGTACATGCTTTCGGAAGCTCCCTTGGACACTTCTTGATCCCCCGTCTCTCCTTCTAGAATTCTCCGTAATGCCCATCCACATTTTCCCTCCTACACTTCCTTCCTGCCAAGCAGCTTCCCATGGTGTTCGATACCAGTTTTCCTTCGTTGCCGTTCTATCCCGTCGTTTATCGTCGCCGCACACACCTTCACAACTGCACCGAAAAGGGAGACAGGGTAACGTGATGTTTGATATATTCATTCGTTGCACCCAATATCCTTTTTATTTCCGTATTATAGTCATACCCCCTCATTCTATTCACGACCACGGCATGAAATGATTATGACGATACGCCCAAAAAATACATTTATTGGATTGGAAATCCTTGAGAGAGAAAGCTGACTCGGACTGATCTACTTACCATACCTTGGTTGAACTCGTTTCGCCGTAGAACGTAGGATAATGCCGTCGTTCGTTATAGAATTCATCTTTTGTTTTGATATACAAACTACACAGAGGGCTTGCGGCACCTACTCTTTCGTCTAAGTATGTTTATATACTGCCAATTGCCAGAGCATATGTGCAAGTCCATTCAAGTCATCCTTCGGATCACATTCTCCTTGCGAGTCTCCTTGGGTTCCTCGTCATCCCACGGACTGAAGTTGGCCTTCCGGGCGCGAGGCAACGACTGCAACCATGCTGGCAATATGCTACCAAGATCACGGACGGGGACCTGGGGGACATGAGCACGAGCATGACAACTGGTAGGCGACGCCGGGATGCTGCCAACATCGCTCAAGCTCGGAAGCCGCTCAAAGCTGGTATTGGTCGATCCTCCCAACGCTCGCTGGAGTGCCTCTCGCTCTGCAGGCGAGGGAGCAAACGCACGCAGCAACGACTGGCCTGTAGAGGCCGCGCCAGCCGTCGGGCCGAGTCCGTTGGGATTGAGGGCGTCGTACATAGCATTGCTTAGCGGGTGTCCGTTGAACATGGTGCCGTTGCCAGGTCCCTTCCGGAAGAGGTTGAATTCCTTCGCGTCCGGGTTGAGTCCTTTGCCTGTTTTCGCCTTGCTAATGGCCGAGAACCAATTTCGGGTGCTGGTCTTCTCCGCAGCGGTCTGGAAATAAGGATACTCCACCTCCTGGGGGTCAAAGGCGAAAGGAGAATCATCCTTCGAATGTTTCCAAGTTGAACGTTGCGACTCGAAAGGCCGATGCTGGTGCTCATATGAAGGGAACTGCAGGGCTAAGGCTAGTTCTTCCGCATTGTTGATTGAGGGCCCGTACAACGAAGTAGGAGACGACGTTATGACGCCAGGAGCATCAGCTTTGTGGTGCTGTTTCGTCGATTGATGGTATTCCTTCTCAACATATGGATCGCTGTCGGACTGGAACGATCTTGAGATAGAACCTCCATTATCGAGAGACCCGCTAAAACCGAGATCGTTGAACAAATATGAACGTCCGTTTTCAAACACAGTCCCGTCCGAACTTGTGACGTCGGAGAACGGCGAAAAAGAATTTGCTTGAAATCCTGGGGCATTGTCAAGACGAGTGCCGTTTGTGCTACCAATAGATGCGCGACGAGGTGATCCTCCGAGAGCATAGAGTTGGGATGCATCGTATATGTGAGGAAACTGATTGTGAAGGCCGTTTGAAGTCATATCCCAAGAGTCTGCGGTGTGGTCGTACGTCGTAGGAGAATGATGTACATCAGGGGTAGATAGCACGGATTCTTGATGATGGAAGAGTTGCGTTATAGAATCCTCGAGATGAGAGGCTCGAGTTTGTCGAAGGCCATCCGATTTCTCCCTGAGTGTCTGCAGCCTGTCTTTCTCCGACGCTAGCTTCTCCTCGAGCTCTCTGGATCGCTGGTTGAGAATAAGAACCAATTCTTCGGCCGCTTTGATCTCGAGACGCTTCTGTTCCAGTGCTTCCGTGAGATCGCGCTCCATGTCCGAAACTTGGCCTCGATGCTCAGCAATAAATTCGCGGTTCTCAGCGAGCTCTTTGCGCAAGTCGCCGGTCTCCTTGTCGAGATTTTCCATGCGCTGAGTAGCAGTATCGTGAACGAGCTGGGCAGCTTTAAGCTTTTTGTCGGCCTCCTTTTTCAAGCCTTCAGCAACTCTCTTGGAATCCTCAAGAGTCTTTGTCCGTGACCTAAGTTCAGCCTTCGATACATCTTCCAGCCGTTTCCGTTCGCGATGCGTGTCGACTTCTTGGTGCAACACAGCTCGAGATTGAGAGGCAGAAGTTTGACACTCCGTTAGTTGCGTGCGTAGATCGAGAACAGATGCTTTGGACGCTGTTATTTGACGCAAAACTTCGGCAATAAGTGGCGAATGTTCGAATAACGTCGAAGGCGACCGCGATGGTGTGTTGGAAATAGGGCAGGTCGAGTCACTCGAAACTGACGAACGAGGTAGGGTCGGTTGATCACAAGGACGGTTGTTTGACGAGTTTTTCCGGACGGTGTGCATAGGAAGTGAAGCTGATTTTGGCAAAGGAGGTGGAGAGGAGCTTCTGGGATGCGCAGCATTACTCCGGAGGGTGGACCTTTCACGATTCCGGAGCCTGGGTGGCGAGCCACGAGAGAGATGGGCCGGAAGATTTTTCACCGAAAAGGTTGGAGCTGAGGGGAATTCGTTGGTCTGAGAGAAGGCAAGAAAAAAGGGGGGAGATGGCGCATACCATTGCATTCTTCAAGCATGTCGAGTCTCTTCATGTTGAGAATGCCCGAGCTCCAACTCTCTTCATCCTTGGCCCTAGCAATAACATCCTGGTACCATTCTTCGACCCCGCCTCTCCACCACTTCCC